GATCATTTATTGAACAGGATGGAATAATTTCAGATTTAAAGGACTTTCAGAAGTTTGAATTTTGAATATGACTTTTCTTTTAAATCAGCACGAAAGACACAGCAAAAAATGTCTTTGCTGCATTTATAAAATGTTCAAAAGCTTCTTCAGATGGAGAACAAAAAAACAGAAGAAAAGCTACTAAGATCAGAGTCCAATAAAGGATCAGCCTTTCCCTTTCTGCTGCAGAGCCGTGGATCATTTCAGCTTAGTTTATATTTACCTAAGCATAGGAGGGATTCCATATCAAGATTAGATGATGTGATTGTGAACATGTGAAGCATGCATGGGGCTGTGTATTATTTTTACTCCTTACACTGATCCTGCACAAATTGTTAATTTCCTCCTAACTTTAAAAGGAGATAGTTATAACATTGTTCAAATGTTCCACCTTTCCAGATGCATTTAAAGATATGAAACAATGTGGACCTCAGGCTAAAATTTCAGAGGAAAAAATGGTTTAGTAAAAATTCTCACATGCAGTTGGGGTAAAAATAAAAAAAAAACACCAACAATTAAGAGGATTAAGTTTTGTGATTGCTATGATGTTCCAACAATTATTCAGAAATACTTTTTTTTTTGTAACCATGGCAGTTCTTTTATTCAAATTAAAATCAAGAATCTCTTAAATAACTACACAGAGACATCACACAATATCTGACTCATTGATCCCGTAATGATGGACAGATAGTTGAACTCTACCTCCTGCACTCTATTTACTCTCTCAGGGAAACGGCTGTTCCAACCGTTTCATTTCCGAATTCTCCCTAGTGGTGTCCGACTTTAAATAAACAGGGATGAAGATGCTGTGGAAGAGGACGCCAGAAGCTTGGTTTGGTGTAGAAGGCTTCCAGCCGTACATGTTTAACCCCTTGCCTCGCAACGCTGCCAGTTCTGTTAGCTCTACGCCTGCTGAAGACACAGACGTCCATCCCCGTAAACACTGAGACGCAACGCAAAGGGAAAGGAAAGGATTCTGATTTCAACCGTTGCGTATATTAGCTGCGACATATGAATCAAGATGCTATGACCGGAAAAACTTGATTGACAGATGACTGTTGATATATGATTGGCCGAATTTAGGTGTTCAGGCTGACGTAGAACTAACTGGCCTGCAGAAGATAACGAAAACCCCCCACAGATTTTAAGACGAGACATTTTTAAATAGATATTTTAAAAATGTTGGGACAATATGGTCTGATAAAGAGAACATTTATGTACATGCTTAAGCCAGAATGATTTGACATTTAAATATGATTTCCTTAAGACTTTCAAAACTTCAGAAGCCTAAACTCTGTGTTCTGGTACTGTTAGGAATACAGTTTGTGTGGTCTGTTTTTATGTTTCCTTCTCTCCACCACCAGGTAGTGCCCTGTCGTCATTGGGCCTCCTTGCACACCTGCGGCTCATTATCTGGAGGAGTACTTGAGCAGTGGGCTGTCACTACCTCGTGGCCAGTTTTGGGTACTCTAGCCAAGCTGATATACCCGAGTCTAACCTAGCTTTGCTTCTCTGAGTCTAACAAGTTTTTTGTCTTTGCTTCCCGGCAGGAAGCTTTCCTGTGTTAGTGGGTTCCTGGACCTTCTCCCCCCTGGAAGGAAAAACCGAGTTACACTAAGCAGGGGAAAACTTCCACATGTTCTGTTCAAGTACCAATCAGAAATCCAAGTGACAATCCGCTCCATTACTCCTCTGGGTCCAACGCTTGTCTACCTGTCCGCCCTCCAACGTGTGCACTATTCTTTGGATTTACCACATAGACTGGATTCCAGGACTACTTTTATTTATTTTTTATTTTTATTTAACCTTTATTTTACCAGGAAGTCCCTTGAGATAAAATCTCTTTTTCAAGGGAGACCTGGCCAAGAGGCAGCAGTACAGTAAGACATATAAAAACACATAAAAACAACATAATAAAATCAATCATAAACTAGACTCTAGAATAACAGTTACAATTCTCTGTGCAAGCGGTTTTCAGTAGTGATTAAAAATGCTGTAGCGGAATAAGAGCCCGTAATTGAAGGGAGTTTTGAATATTGTGCCACGACCATGGTGCTGCATAGGAAAATGATGTTTTGCCAAGATCTGTGTTGATCCTGGGAATAGTGAAAAGAACACGACTTGAAGAGCGTGAGTTGTAACCACTGCTAGCTACAGACATGAGGTGACACAGGTATGGAGGGAGTTTAC